GCTCTAATGGCTCAGTTGTGTAATACACTTTTTTAAAAATTGTGTCAGAACTTTGGACAACAAGGGTCATTACAAGGCAAAAATTAAATATATTTCCATGACAGCAGAATCATCAATGGCAAATGAAAAATGGAAATCATGCCTGAGGCTTATTTCTTGTCAGTTGCAACAGAGCAAAGTGAGGGAAAGGAAAAACAAATTTACTCTTGAATGAAAGCATATACCTGCAGCCTGAATTTTTGAGATTTCCACCGCACTTCTAAAAGAAAAAAAGCTGATGCAGCTTAACTAGCATATTCAGACTCAACAAGTAACCTGAAAGATGACAGGGGCCTTCGACAACTCCTTTCTCACCATGGAGCTGAGTAAGTACCAAGACCTGCTTTTTGACATACGGACACCCATATGCTTCATTAGCATGATTTTGCTTTTGAGTCACCACATTCTAAATTATCCTCTCAAATTTTTTTCTTTTTCTTTTGCCCAATGAATATAGCTAAGGCCAATATCCACATCCGAAACTGAATTAAAATCCAGGCTGCATAATTTATTCTTTCTAGAGCTAATGGGGAAGTCAGACATAATGCTGGATTCACAATCTCCAAGTAAGTTTAAGATACAAAACGCATGCAATTTACATATGTACACCAAGAAACCACTCTATTGCATTTATATTCAGTAATTAAATCACTGTAATTACCGACTTTGTTTCAGAAATATAACAAAAGAGAAGGAAAGAGTCTTCAGACATGAAAGCCTTTGCAGTTTACCGCGTTTGTTAAAAGATCAAATGAGCCAGATATTTGCTTTACTTTTTTTTTTTTTTAAATCCAGATGCTGATATATAATTATAGTTTCTTCTTCTTGAGGTCCCAGACTGACGATTAATGAAGCTCTTGTGCAAAACTGAACAAGCAGCTCACTTCAAATTATCTGTCTTTCAGGAATATTTATTATGGCTAGAGTCAGATGCTGGCACAGGAGTGCATGTGATATTGCAAATCTCAGTTAAATACGCATTCTAATAAAGCCCAGGACTATGAGCAGCCTACTCATTCCAAATATTTTCTGTGACAACATACAGTCCTGAAAAATGATGCCTTCTATTCATAACCCTACTTCTAATTATACGTTTCACCTTCATCTAGCATCACAAAAAAAACCTTCCGGCAGCAATCAGTATGACTGTCAATCAATCAAAACTGCAACCATATCTGAAAAACAAATCAATGCAAGTGTTAAGCAATTACAGAAACATAAGAAAATCAATAACGGATCAGACCACAAGTTCATCTAACCAGTATCCTATCTCCAACCAGGCTGATCAAAATTACTGTTGTCCCAAAGAACACGTGGGCAAAGGACCTCACCTCACAGTCAAGTTTACCACTGACATCTTGACCACAGTGGTGCCACTGGCTTTGGATGCCACACACATTTTTCTTTAGTTCACCTAAACCAAATGATGCAATCCCTCCCTCCTTTCATCAAGTCTTCTCCATATAATCACATCCAGTCATTCCTCTTTAAGTAAAACTATACGTATACCAGACATATAAAATTATTTCCATTACTGCTCAAGGCTGAGAACTGCCTTGTAGGAATAGTTTAAATTCGTATAAAACCATCTTACCACATATTGTTTTAAGGGATCGCAAATCACCATTATGACAAGTCAGCCTACCATTTCATGAAATGGTAGGTTTTCATAACAATTTTATTTTAGGAACCAGAACTGAATAAAATACTTTGCAGAGTAAATTACAGTAACTGGATTGCAAGTTGCTAAACAACTGAGAAAAAGAAATGTCAAAGAAGATATACCTGGTGAATGTTAAAGTCACCTTTATCACAGCACAGTTAGCTACTTCAGGGGTGTTTACCTCCATCAGCTTTGTTTACGTTAAGACTAGAAACACTGACCCAGCCTCTTTTTCTGCAAGCACACTGCAAAAACAATGCCAGCTGTCTCCAAAGCCGCAAGTACTTCTATGAACTCTAGCTGAAAGCTTTTTTGCTGAGCAGCTGCTCAGATTTGTGCCATTGTGGGGAGGACACATGCTCTCAGAGCTCCCAGGGAACTCTGGGAGAGCTCAAAATCTCAAATTCTGCCTCGATTTACTCCCAGTTCCATTAATATGTCTGAGGACTAAGCCTGCAAGGAGATTAAAATAATCACTTGATCATCCTAGCCTCCCTCTTCACAGATACACACAAATTACTCTTCTCTGTTTTATTATTTTCTCTCACATCATTTTCAGCTGCCAATACCACCTGATAAGAGTCGCCTGAAGGGATGTTTGCTTCTTTTGACTTTGAATGCAATAGGGAGTAGAGATTGCATCATATCAATGATACTACCTTAAAATGGCAAAGACTAAAAACGAGAGAGTAGAAAGTTAAAAACACAGATGTCTCTGCATCTGCTTAGCAGACGGGGGGACATAAAATACCAGGTAGCAAAGACCAAAAAGTACATGTATATTGGTGCTGTAGAAAGCAGAACAGAATGCTAGTGGCCTCTTCTCCCCCTCCTGATAAACCTCCCTCCACAGGCATCAGAAGTCCAGATGTTTTGGAAGAGCACCATGAAGCCCCAGGAGCAGACAGAGAAACTCCAGGGGACTGCACCTTCCAGCACAAAAGCAGCTGACATGCTGCAAACGTAATTTAATTTTGACAAACAACAACAACAAGTTCATGTACTATGGCCTGTGGAGTTTGCTTATTCTGTCTATGGCTAAATAATGTCTTGCTCACATCTACAGCTTGTACAGCCACCGGCTGTAGAAGTACTCCCACAGGAGCCTACAACAGGCACATTAAACCCTTTCCCTCGCAGACGCAAAGGTTTCTCAGTTCTACCAGGAAAACAACTTCTCTCGGACTTGTAAAACAACTTACAGTTTTGTTTTATAATTCATGCTGGTTCCCATCTAACTATGCTCCTTATGTCCTTCCTGCCACTTTCTTTCTCAAGAGGATTAAATCAAAGAAATAAAAATTTCAGACCAATGCTTTTTGTATTAATATACAGGCTCAAGAAACAGGTGCCTAATAGGGACCAATAATGTATGCTCTACAAAAAAAAAAAAAAAAAAAACAACAACAAAAAAAACACAAAGCAAAGAGCACACTCCGAGTGTGTATTTTGTCAATAAACTGACCAGGTAGCTAAGGGAGTAGATGCAACAGTTAGCTATTCCCTAGTTAATAAGGTAGCTCTAGAGGTCATTAAACTTTCTCCTCTGCCTTGAAAGCATAAAAATTGCTCCAGGGCCTGCTTTACAATATTAATATACAGTGCATATTTGTTAGCGTCTTAAGATCAGGAGCGCACTCCTCCTGATCGTTCTGTTGGCTCCACGTTGTTTTGCACCATGGATTGGTCTCAAGGCACCTAACCTGGACTCCTTGCAGATGACGCTACACTGGAACACGCAGCCCACGGAGACACCTAACACACATCAGCTAGGACTGGTCCTTCAGTCCAGAAGACCAGACTAAGCAATTTCAGAAACACACGCAGTGTGAACATGAAGCCCTCAGCACCGACTGTTTCCCCCTACAGATCTGTTTCTATTGTGGCACAGCACCTGCTAAAGCAGATGCAGCCACAAAGACCAAGGTTAAATTTTAACTTTTCCTTTTCACTATTTGAGTGAGAAGGGAAAATTACAATCTTGTTTGAAGAAAGGAATAAAGCAGATAGCTATATTGTGACAGAGGTTCAGATCTGTGAACAAGCATAAGAAGTCTTCTCATTTAGATCCTAATAAGATTCCCTCACCACGAGGCTGGCATGCCAAGGAAATGCAAGAATAAGCAGGTATATAACACACCTTAAATAAAAGGATGTAACCCCAAGCAAAGTTTAAATTTACCACAAGGTATGAGTCCTTCCTTTGGACAAAACCTGACTGCAATACAAACTCTGTTCCAACTCACATTCCACTGAACAGAAATATAAGATGACCAATTTGCTTAATGAAGAAATGGCATAAAGTGTTGTTTTCCTGCCTTTCATTTGAATAAATTAATAAGAATTACTTTTCCCTTCTCATAAACATGTTTCCCAGTGAAGTTGTGATTTAGTAAATAAGCACGTTTGTTCTTATTTACAGAGATATTTTCACAATGCCAACTTATTACCATGGTGTTACATGTAAAATAAACATCATGTAAGTCAGTCTACTTACCAAAGCACAAGAATGGCTCTCTGGTTTTTTTTGCCTTGAACAAATAGCAAGGACAAACCCATGCAATAAGCTAGTACATAAAGATTTCAGGTAAATATAGTCTTGGTTACAAAGAAAAACAGCTAGCCAAGGAAAGCAGAACAAAACCAGGTGGCTTTTGTATGAACAGAAATACAGCAACAGTCCATTGAACCTCCCTGCTTTCATTTCTACACAGCAGTGACTAGCAGTTTTAAGTAGATTTATTAATCTACAGTAACAACTGTTTGCTTTGGTATCCTCCACTACTAAAACTGCTAAATTCCCACCCAAAATAAAAGCAGATAATATTAACAGCATTTATTTTTACTTGTCTTTTAAAAAGCACCATATTGTCAAATACCTCGCAGAGACAGGGATATGGGCCAAACGGTAGAAGGAATCACCTAGCACACAGGAAGACGACCTCATATGCAGACTGACAGCCTAATGCTTGTGACCAAATGTGCCTAGCCTCTATATTTCTGCAAAGTGTGAAATGATGTTCAGAGATTTTAGGAAACCTGATGTCTTACATTAACTGTACTTTTTTCTCTAACCTTCTCCTACCTGGCAGGATCATTTAAAGGAGGCTCAGCAAGGTAAAAATTCCCAAATTCCCCAATTCTCTTGAAGGAATATATAACTTGCTACTGCTTTAAATCAATTTTATGATACAAAAACAACTGTATCCTTGGTTTGCTATCCACAAGGAAAACAAAACCAGTGATAAGGTTCAAAGTCATGGAAATTCACTGTAGCACAGCAAATCAAAATGCTCACCTGCTGGTTTCCCAGTCTTGGTCATCCTTATCTTTTTCCTCTTTGGCATCAGAATTGTGTGGGTGCTTCTGCACAATCCGCATCCCACCAGCTTTCACTGGAATGAAAATTAGAGAGACACAACAAACCTCAGTCAAATCAGATCCCCCCCAATATTTCACAGAATAGTTTCATAGTTATCATAGTTTGGAAAAGGGGTCCAAAGTGTTTAAAAGTGGCAAGCGTGAAGAACAGCTACTTCAGGGCTGCATCTGCCATTCTCTTTCACATCATGACATCTTTGCTCATCCTGAGAAGTTGCAGCTCATTTTACCACCTGCTTCCAATACCATTTTAGAAAACTCAACTCTGTTTTAACTCTCTCCCACCCCTGCAAACTTGCAGCAGTCAGAAGAAGAAATGGAGGCTACAGCTTGCATAACGCCATGGAAAAGGCCACAACTGTGAATGTTAAATAATCCCATAAAACAAGAAGGGATGAAGAACCTCACTTGTCATTTCAAGTTAAAAAGTACAGCTATAATAATAATAGTATTTATACAAGGAAAGATTTCATGAACAGTATAATAAAAAGCAAAGTTTAGGGTGCTCTTAACTCGCATTTAGAACAGAGCTTTTTGTTTTGCAAAACATAAGCATTTACTACATTTCAAATCTTTGTCATGATTTAGTTTTAGAAATTATCCAAACATGAAAGCATCCCTTTGAAACACAAAACAAGAAGTGAAAGCAAATCCACTTATGTTCATCATTTATCCCCTCCAAACTGAAATATAAAACAGGAACCAAGACAGGCCTAACACTGCAGCTACTAAGCAGAGCAGCAGGCAGGCTGCTCTTGATCTGCTTTCTGTTTTGATATTGTACTTTTTTTTTTTTTTTTTGCTTCAACCATTGCTATACACGCTTACAGGACAGCACAAGATAAGATGATGCATCTCGCTAGCTAATTGGATGGGTTACATTGCCATCAGCAACCGCATCAGAAAACCACTACAGCAGTTAGGAGTCAATAAAACCACCTACGGATGCGTTGGTTTGTGTTTCGCGTTGCCGCGACACAGCAGGTCTGTGGACAGCCTCGGCAGAGATGTCACAGCCCCAGCAAGCAGGATGCCAGAGCAGCACCGGGAAGGAGCCGAAGCGGCTTGCCGGCGGGGCTAGGGGAGGCTGTACTTCTGACAGCCCTCCTGCGCCCAGCCACGGAGGGATTACCCTACCTCGCAGCAGGTCAGTGCTAATCCCCGAAACCTAGAAACAGGTTTAGTTCTCAGTTTTTAACCAGGACAGCAATGGAAAGGATGCTCTTGTGCATAAATTTTACAGCCTGGGCGAAGGCAAGCAGTAAAGAGAAAGTGACCTGCCCTAGGAGAAAGTGACAGCTTTTTGGCCCTACGATTTTTTACATAGATTTTAAGCTTTGAGTGACATTTAAAAGATAAACTTCTTAGTCAGTAAAGGACATTAACTAAAGACAGGCCATCAACAGACAAAACCAAAGAAATATCTTTGAAAACCTATGAAAACAGTGTCCTCTTATGTATTACAAAAAAAAAAAAAAACCCAAACCAAACCACTAGCCGTTCTGTGTTCTCTCTCCAGCATAAAACTTAAAATACTTCAATTGGTGAGAAATGTTTCACATGGGACAAAGAAAGATAGAAAGGTTAGGCAACAAAGAAATGTAGTTTTAAAAATGGAAAAAAAAATTAAAATTCCTATTAATTTTTCTCAATGCAAACTCCTTAGAAATTTAAGTTAGTTTGCAAAAGCAAACACTCTGTCAAGTGCTGTCTCGTTCTAACACCTCAGCTAATCAAAGTGATTGGTATGTTTTATTTACATTAATTTATAAATTTAACATCATCGCACAATTAGTTCTTATTAGTTCCCTGTCAAATTCCTTTTTTGCGGTAGATGCTGTTTCCACAGCAACATCTGCCAGGCTACAAACAGCACTTCTGGACAATACACACACGCTTCCACGTTCTTCACCATCCAACAGAAAACTAAAGAAAACGCTACCCAAAGACTTAGTGCTAATTTCAGTGGTCTAAAATCTCTCTCCTCTCATATTGTATATCATCAGGCCATCAGCCACTTGGTTTCTCTTTATCCGTTACTAGCAAAGATATGCAGCTAACATGTTCAGATTTGTCTGTATGTAGAATTAACAGGGATTAAAAAGCAAATAACCAGACAATCAAAAGGCGTAACAGTGACTGACCAATGCAGTAACTTAATAATTTTAATAATCTAATTTTTTGCACTAATATCAACAGGCATAGTACAGTCAGCTAAAAGTACATTGGTGCATAACTGAATAATCTTTAGTAATCCAGGGTTACTGTGCAGATTTGGGAAACCAAAAGAAGAATCCAGCAAACAACTGCAGTAATAATTTGTATTTCTGAGACCAAAAGTGAAATAATTAGATCAGCATCCTATACATAGAGCTGATGTACATCTCTGCCACGTGTGACACAGCATGCTCATGCCCAATCTAGTTTCAAGAGACTTATCTTAAGAAGAGAAATACCCTTGCAACATAATTCACCTTCCTTTTCAAAAGATTTCAACCAAGCTACATTACCTCAGGGTCAGACAGAGAGAAGAAATTATGATTACATCCACCAAGCTAAAGAAAAACCCACTCCATTTGTGAGATTTTCTTGGGGCTTATGAGGATTCATCTGTTTCTTACTTGCCTAGCATTTACTACGTAATTTGACAGATGCTTACCACAGTGATTTTGTCACTTAAAAGTTGTTCTTAAAAGAGTACAAGCTCAGATTTCCTTATAGTAAATTCTGCACAGAGCAGAGAGAGGATTTCAATAACTGATAAATCATCTTCCAGAACGCTGCCAGAAATCAGTGCCCAGAAGAGGACGGTGTCAACGACACCGTGGTGGGATTAGGAAGAAACCAGTTCCCATGCTGGAGAGGGAGCTCGGGCTGCAGTTGCTCGGGAGAGCTCAGGTGGGATCTGTGCTAAGCCAGGAGGGGACCGGGAACAGCTCCCAGTGGTGGCGATCGCCAAGAGGCCACCAGCCTCTAAAGTGCGAAATAAGGAGGGGATCATCTGGCAGCACGCTCCAACAAGAGCAACAGCACAAGTCTGTTTGCCCCACTGCTGGATAAGAGCCGAGTTTGGGATTTTAATTATTATCTGTTACGCTTTCCCCCCTCCCGAGAGGCAGACGGGACTGTCTTGTTTGTCCTGTGAACGCCAGCCTGCGTTCCTCTTAAGGGTACGACTACTCCTTTTGGCAATGTATTAAACAACTGCGTTAATCAATTACCACTCAAGATGATCTGGAGTCGGTAAACATTCTCAGTCTATTTACCCTTCTTTTTTCCCACTGCCGTGCTTCTTTCAGACGGCTCCCAGTTTCTGAAACTGAATTCTGAAATAAACCCCACTGAGTCACAGCAAGCACGAAGTACCTAAAGAAGCACCGCAGCTCTGCGACAGCTCCGGCCCCAGCTCGCTCAGGTTGCAGACCCAAGGCAGTCCTTCTTGGGGAAACCTTCCAGCTCAACTCAAACGGCCCGCTGGTCACAGCAACCGGACAGGAGCTTTTAGAATTGCAGAGTATAACCAAGAGCTTTAGCAGCTTCCCGTTTTCCTTGAGTATAGTATTAAATATTAACACAACATTTATTTCTTATGTACTGCATAATAACAGATTCCATTACATCGATAAGATGTATGAAAAGCCAGGACTGAGGGAAATGCAAAATACGCCGTTCTGCAAGCTTAAGGGAATATACATTAGTGTCTGACAAAACAAGAACAGAAGTAAGAGCTATTACATACCTTCATTTCACAGAAATCTTGTCTCAGAGCTATATTTTTTTAATGTAGGAAAAAGCACATAACTATTTCCACAAATCTACTGTAAAGCTTCATAAATAAACTATTAACACAATCACCTTGCTTTACTGATCCACAGTATCTACTAGAAGAAATGAACAGCTAAAAGCATAATTACGGAGACCTCCTTAGAGGGACTGCAAGTGGTACAAACCTACTCAGCAATGTATTATAGATGCATTGATCTCCCTGAGAGACAGATATTTAATAAAGCTTAAGTTGGGGCCCTCTTAAGTTTCAGAAAGGAGTTCAAAGTTGCTTTGTGCACCCTGTTACCAGCCTGAGGTCTTGAGGTTTCTCTCCACTTCATTATCTTTTGTCTTTTCAAGTGCTTTTCTTGTCTTTTCTTTTTTCCCCTATGTGAAAGATCAATGCAGAGAGGAAGCTAACAGACTCCACGCAGTCAGTAAGCGAGGGCTAACAGTGCATATGGCAAACAATGGATTTGTCAATTCTGCTTTAATTCGATGATCCAAATCCTTCCTAACTTTTACGTGTCTAATTCATACTCAGTGGGGTAAGACATACCTGTAATTACAGGTAGGGCTCTTTATACAACCGTACGCAGCAAAACCAGAACTTTTAAGCCATTAGTCAAAAACGATCCCCTATTCGCATCTTTGCCTTACTAGGAACCTGCCTTGTTATTTATGAACACAAGTCCACCTGTATTTATGTAGTCATCTTTTATTTATTTTTTGAAAAATTTTTTTACTTTCATTTTATTAAAACTTGTTTGCAAACTGCCCTATTACATTATATTATTATTCAAGGATCTAAACCAGCTTGAGCTAGAAGATTAAAACCTAGCTTCAGCCCCTAGAGTAAATATAAACTGCCGCTAGTCAGCACATTTATTGTGGATTTTCCAAGTGTTAAAAGACCACAGGGCCACTTTCCTCTGCCAACCAGCTCAGAACCATCTTCTTCCAGAAATGACCTGAAGATACTGTAAAGCATTAGGTTTTTTTTGTGGCCTCAAAGACAGACTTGGTGATCGCCTTCCTTCAAAAGCTGAATTGGTGCTGCATACTCACAAAAAAACCCTCAGGGATACTAATGATCTTAAAAGGCACATAGCTGAAAAAGTTCTTCAGTTCACATGTGGATGCATGTTTTACAAATAAAAAAAAAAATACTACTACTGAAATACTCCGACAGCAAGGGAAACCTGTACTGTACTCCAGTTGTGCTTTTGCACTGTGCCTCACTAGTTTCTCATGTGGCCTACAGAGGCTCACTTCAGGTCTTTAAAGAAATTCCACCTGTTTCAAAAGACAGGTTTTGAAGAAAAACTCTCAAACATGCCACAACATCAGGAAATACAGTGACAAAGCACCGAAATGAAAGTATCTGCCATTTACCCTTCATTCCCTTTCCATCAGTGGTGCAGCAGGAAGACACAGCTAAACCAACCTCAGGTCTTAACCATCCCTTCACACTGAAGCTGACGTTTACCCGACCTCAAGGTGAGGCAGCTCGAGGAACGATGGCAGCAAAAGCTGTTGACGTTGGGAAAGGTGCTTTGGTTTGGTTCCCTGAACCAGCTCACCAGGTCAGGTAAGAGCTAATGCCATGACAAGGGAGGCTGCAGAACTGGGACGACTCTGCTCAGTCAAGAGATCGGCTTAACTGTACTGCTGAACTGTATTTGCCATGCAAAGCAAAGCCATGACTTCTCACTTCTAGTGTCTATTTAAAGGAATTTCAGGTCCTCATTACAAAAAGAGCAGTATTCAATCAGGGTTCAAAAATTGTTTTCAAATTCAGCTTTAAATCTCATCAATTGATTTTAATATTAAACTAACCACCCTGTGAATTAAGAATTTCAGCATTTCTTGACTGAAACACTTTAAAAAAACAAAACAAAAACAAACCCCAACTATTCCGCCAGGAAACACTAGAAGGGGCATGAAAAGTTGCTGGTGCAGGGACCGAAGTTCCCTTTTTTTAAGAAAACTGTAATATAGAAGAAGAAAACTAACAGCACTGAAGGAAGAAAACAACTTGGATACTGCGAGCCACCTGTGTACAGAGAGGAGCTGGCGGCTCAGCGGATCAGTGCCCGCCGAGGGTGAAACCCGGCTCCCAGCCCGACCACCCACTGCCTCGCTCACCCACGAGCGCGCAGCAGCGGGTGGAAGGTGCCGGAGCTCCTGTGCCGGACAGCCAGCAACCAGCTTTGCTTGGATCCTACCCTGCCAGCCTCTAGATTTAAAGCCAGGAGGGCGCAGCCTGCTCTGGCTTGCGCGGTGCTGCCAACGGCCGCGCAGGCCGTGGTGTGGCCGAGGCTGCTCCTCTCCCCTTCCCGCCTTTACCAGCCGCGGGCGGTGGCTTCGTAGGCCTCCGCCGCCTTTCGAGGTCGCGATGCCCTCACGGACAGGGACCGACGAAGACGGCGCTATCTGCCTCCCGGGCCAGAAGCTGGAGATGCCAAACAGCACAAACCCGAGGAGGATTCGTCTGTGACCAGGGAGCTCCTCTGGGAAAAGCCGGGCAGGGAGCGTCGCCCCGGCTGCTAGCGAAGGCCGCCAGCGGGCAGGGAAAGCTGAAGGAGGGCGGGCGGGCGGCAGAGATG